GGCAAGATAGTTTCTGGAAATTAGTTTTTTTATGAAGATAAATTATTTTTGTGTCACCACAAAGACAAACTGGAAAATGTAAAAGCCAACTCATCTCATCTCATCTCATCTCATCTCATCTCATCTCATCTCATCTCATCTCATCTCATCTCACACTGTTTTCTTGCCAGATTGCAAGCTTTCTATACTATCATTTCAGTGGGTCACACAAACCTGAAAATGAAACTGTGGAATTAAGCAATCATAGAATATTTTAGATTATTAGGGACCTCTGAGGGTCCTAGACCAACGTTCTCCTCAGAGGAGGGCAAATTTCAAAGCTAGATCATGTTGCACAGGGCCCTGTCTAGTCAAGGTTTGAAAATCTTCAGTGATGTGCATTACACAATGAATGGAAATTTATAGAATCATAGAATCATAGAATCATTAAGGTTGGAAGAGACCTCCAAGATCATCGAGTCCAACCATCAACCCAACAACACCATGCCCACTAAACCATGTCCCTAAGCGCCTCATCTACCCGTCTTTTAAATACTTCCAGGGATGGTGACTCAACCACTTCCCTGGGCAGCCTGTTCCAATGTTTAACTACTCTTTCAGTAAAGAAATTTTTCCTCCCATCCAATCTAAACCTCCCCTGGCGCAACTTGAGGCCATTTCCTCTCGTCCTTTCGCCAGTTACTTGGGAGAAGAGACTGACACCCACCTCACTACAACCTCCTTTCAGGTAGTTGTAGAGAGCAATGAGGTCTCCCCTCAGCCTCCTTTTCTCCAGGCTAAACAACCCCAGCTCCCTCAGCCGCTCCTCATAAGACTTGTTCTCCAGACCCCTCACCAGCCTCGTTGCCCTTCTCTGGACACGTTCCAACATCTCAACATCCTTCTTGTAGTGAGGGGCCCAAAACTGAACACAGTATTCGAGGTGCGGCCGCACCAGTGCTGAGTACAGGGGCACTATCACTTCCCTGCTCCTGCTGGCCACACTATTTCTGATACAGGCCAGGATGCCGTTGGCCTTCGTGGCCGCCTGGGCACACTGCCGGCTCATGTTCAGCCGGCTGTCGACCAACACCCCCAGGTCCTTTTCCGCCAGGCAGCTTTCCAGCCACTCTTCCCCAAGCCTGTAGCGCTGCATGGGGTTGTTGTGGCCGAAGTGCAGGACCCGGCACTTGGCCTTGTTGAATCTCATACAGTTGGTCATCTTTACCAAAAATGACTGTGATCTTGGGGTTCTATTTTATTTTTCTTATGTAAATAGTTGCCCACCTTCTTATGTCATTAAAATGGTCTTGGATTAAACCTAGTGACTTCAAGTTGCCTGTTTGGTTTTTTTTTTTTTCCCCTTTTCGTTCTGAACCCACTTCACTTTAATATGCTTCCAGTAGCACGTTTTGAAGTTATTGTCTGTCATTACATGCCTGTATTCAGGTAGCATTACAGGAAAGAGCATAATGATGCTGTAGGTGAAAACAAGGCATCGATTTTTGTGTGGTATTCTGTTTGGTTTGTCCAAATAAATCTGCATAAGTACTGTTAGAGAAAAGAACAGCCTAGTAACTGAGAGTACATTTGTTTTGAAATAAATAGATGGTATGAAAAATGGAACTTTTTTTTGTTTGTTCAGATTATCTCATCTGGAAATTCAGTTATTACTTCATTTTTCTCATGATGACTAGGCCAGGAAAAATTTTTACTGTTTTTCTTCTCATATCAGGATGCCTTGAAGGCCATGTGCAAAACTGAAAAACTCTTATGGTGAGCAGACAAAGAAGTGAGCTGTCAGTTTCTGGTTCTTCTTCTACATCATCAGTGTATGATGCAGAGGAACAGAACTGGAATATTCTTTCTTCAAGCTGTTTGGGAAAATCACTGTTGTGCCTCTTTCTGAGATATCAATCCTGAAATGATCATTAATGACATACTTATTCCTATTTGTCACCTGGAAGCACAATCACATTTTTTCTAGCTGATCTGAAGGAAGAGGCACATTCTATTTATGATAGTAAACTGGAGGAATTGTAAATGACCTGTGGTAGCTGGTTTCAGCCCACTGTAATATTTACAGCAGATATGATAGTTTGCATGGCAAGCATTTGCCGAATTCCCAAAGGCACTTTGAAGAAGCCTTTCGATGAAGCCTTGCCCAATTCTGTAGTTTGTGCTTTGTTTAAAGGAATGGTCAGAGTGTTGGGTGTTGGTGTTCATTTGCATTAAGGGATTATGCCTTGGATACTTCATTTCAGTATTTTGCACATAGTGCTGTTTCTCATTTCAAGCTTGGATTAAAGAAGAAAATTATTTTAGCTCTTACTACAATTACGGTTACTCTGTTAGGAAGACGTGGTGGTTATTTGCCTACTAGCTATATGCATGTTCTGAGACAGACAGTTTGACTTCAAGCTGACATCTCAAGGTTTTCCTTTGCAGAAGACAGTTAACTTTGTGTTGTATGTGCTTAAGATTGAACAGTGCCAACACTTTTCTTTTTCAGGGGAGCGATATGGGCAAGAATTTAGTGATTTATCTGAATACATTTCCTGCCTTGCTGAAATGCTGGCCTTAATGTTGACAACTTCCTCCTATCTACACATCTCACACTCAACTATTTTTTTCTTTTTTAAAGAAAGTGGATGAAAGCAAAACCTGTTATTGCTGAATTTGCAGAAACTGGCACTAAACCCATGTAAAGGCTTTTAATGGTCTCTTTTCTGATGTCACAAATTCCTATTTATTCTGTTCCTACAAGACAATGTTACAATATGTAGCACCTTCTGAAATAACTGAAGTGGTTGGGTGTTACAGCTTCAGTTGATGAAAGAGTCAGGCCCTTTGACAAAGAAGATGGAGTTGTAGTTACTGTTCACAACCCTGCTATTTGAGAGTGTCATGTTTGGGTAGATTGGAGGCTCTCATGACACTGTGTTTGCCATCAAAAGAAAAACACATGATCCTTTCCTCTTTCCACACTCCATGTCTCTTTCTAATCATCTAGTACCAGTGCTTCTAAGACTGGCAACAAGACCAAGTTTTTCCCCTTACAGTATTAAACACAGGGGAGAATTCTCAATTAAAGGTTTGGCTTCAACCCAGTTTATGTAAATGTTGAGTTTAAGTGGTTGTTTTAATTGACAAAGTTGCTGTGATGTGGCTATGGTTGTTGTCTATCTAGCTTAATTTTTGGTGTGTTATGTTGTCTGATTAAGATCTATTTTGGAGAGAAAATGTATGGGCTGGCAAAAGTCAGGGAAGTACCTGAACTTCAGACATATGTGAGTGCTTGTTCTTTCCTGGTATCGATGATCTCAGATATGAAAGGGAGAGACTTCCCCCTGTTAGCTGAAATCTAATGAAAGAGATTTTAAATAGCAGTTTGGAGAGTGAGATTAGATAAGATAACCGTGCTGGTTTAGCACTTCCTTCCCTGGAAAGGAAAAGGGAGCCTCAGTGGTCTGCTATCGCTTCTGCACTTTCCTGCCACCCTCCATGCTTTAGTATTGCTGCTTATCTGACCCTTCAGTAAACCAGTACTTTTTTGATTCACAGACTAATTTTCTGTTGGCTTAGGCATATTGTGAGATGTCACCATGATTTTAGAAATAAACACCCTCTTATTTTATTCATTCTCACTGTATAGTATTGGTGATCCTGTCTGTTCTGCAGTCATGCATACTGTCTCAGAAAAAAAATAAGGCAAAATCAAACTTTAAAAATTCAGTCTTTCCTCTTCTCCTCCCTCAAACACAAAAGCCTTAAACAGGAAAATGGGAAACAAAATGTTTCTTGAGTTTTAAACCTTCTCTATAAGCAATAAGAAAGTGTATAACTTCATTCCTTTCTGGAAGTAAACTGTTAATTAGCAGTTAAATGTTAAATGTAGGTATTACTATATTTTATGCAATTTTGTAAATGCTGAAAACAGAAGGATATAGCTGATCCCTCTATGACAAGAAAAATGTACAAATTGCTTGAAACTTTTGTAAGTATAGTTTTATTGCCTTTCAAAATTTAAACAGCTAGTTATTAAGGTATATACACAACTTTTTATCTGCTTACCTAGTGTATTTGGACCTCTTTATCTGCTTACCTAGTATATTTGGACCAGTGGTCCAAAAGCTCCAAGACAAACTGCTCTAATAATGTCCTAGATTTTTATTAGAATAGAGCAACCTTTATAGAGGTGAAAAACTGAAATAAATATTTGTACCTGCTTCTATATACAAAAAAGTTATTGCTTATTTGCCGGGGAAGACAGTTTGACTCTTTCCTTCAACTCTTTTTCATAATTGTTTTAAAAGAAACAGTAAATTTAATACTTTTTTCCGTCTTACATTTGGTATTATCATCTGCAAGTTTTTCTGTCTTGTTCAGCTTGTCTTGTATTTAACCCTCAGTTTCCTATCACAGGCAAGTGTCCTGGTCACCAAGGCTCTGAGCTCTTCTAGAGACTTTTGTCTTTTCCACTGGAGCCACTGTATTTAACTATTCCTTGCTGATAGGAAGGGCAAAATGGAGGGACATTGTGTAGCTCAATGACTGTAGCACCTCAGTTTTTCCTCGTGGCTATAGTTTTTAAGAGAAGCTCTATGCTAACTCTGAGAAATCTTCCCCATTGAAATCAGCTTGTGAATCCACAGCATATCATCTTTTGTGGAAGAAAGTGGAGTACAGATCATGTTACGTGTTTAGGTTGGAACCCTGAGTGCCTTTTTGTATGGCGTAGGAAAGATACAGAAATATTCTCATATATGTGTGCTGCCCTGATCTTACTGTTCCTGCTGGGCAGTGGTCTGTACTTAGCTAAGTTAGCTTTGTTATAAATATGAGGGTTTAAATGAGTAAATACTCTCTGACTAAAGATCTCACAGTTAATTACTGCAGAATCACAGTATAGCTCCAAAATAGAAAGCAGAGGATCAGCATGTGACTGTTCATTCTGCCTTCCCAGCAAGGCTTCCATTAGCAGCGAACAGCAGCTGCAGATAAAAATAGAAGGTGATAAGCAACTAGGATCTTACGCAGAAGTCACTCTCCATGACGGCTAGGAGTCCAAAGCAACAATGAAGTCTCTCCGATTCATTACTGCTGAAGCATTTGTGTCAAATGCAGAGTTCGTCAGGAAGAGTCTCGGCGGTGTTGCCCATAATCTTTTTCCTCTTCTTTTTAAAGCCAGCTATTTATTGGAGCAAGGGGAAGTGATTCATGACTTGGTAGAGAACTGGCCACTTGTTGACTTTAACATGGGAAAACTTCTAGGAACTACTGTGGACTACCAGGAAGACCTGAGCTGTAGAACATGCTCAGTGTGCTTGGAAAGCTGTCTGACAGGGCTGAGAGACTATGTGCTGAATCATCCTTCTCCCTACGTGAAAAGGTTGAAAGTGGTGGACCTGACGGGTATAAAAGATGTTGAAGTTCAGTTTTGTGAGTGTAAGAAGACAATGGGCAGGTGGGCCAGGACACAGTTGCTCTCTAAGCTTTGTTTAGAACTGCTGGTTTACCTGCAACAAACACAGTGCAATCCAGGTGCCTTTGAAATCAGTGTTGATGTGCTAATTGACTTGTTTGTTACAGAGCGGAACTATGAGCTAGTAATGCAGGCTCTGTTGAAGAAATGCTGTTGTCCACTGAAGATCTGCTGTGTGTCATTCAGATCTGACAACCTGGATTTGCAGAAATTCTTCTATATCATAAAGCTCACTGATCCCTCTTTGTTGCGCAAACTGGAAATAGTTCACAATGTTCGCTTGGAAATGGAACACTTGGAAATACTCTTCAACAGTATCCACTTCCCTCTATTGATGTCCTTGACCTTGCCAGCACGAACATTTAATGTGCAGAGGTTCACAGCTACAGATGAACGGATGCTTACTAACATTGGAGAAAAGATGGGTGAAATGACGCAGCTGACCGAGCTGAGTATGCCATTTTCTATACTCACAGGAAGAATACAGAAACTGCTCAGGTAATTTGGTCATCCTGCTTTCCATCAGACTCTAAAGAACAGCCCTTTGTGCCATCAGCAAGCTGAGAATCTCTAAGAATAAGGGTAGTGAGTATATCGCAGGGGGTGTGTGAGAAGGGGCAGCAGGAAGCTAGGAAAGAATATTTTTTGGGGAGAATTGGAAGCCAATGTATATCTAATACACTTAGAAGATGTGGCTGTTGTTATTATTCTTCCAGAGCTCATCTGTTGAGTATGGTGAGAATATACTTTTGGCTACCGCATAAGAGAAGGGTACACCCAGACATTTTTGATTTGCTGCATTCTTGAGCTTATATCTCAATCAGCCTGGGCTGGCCTTTGATGCAAGACCTGAGTCATATTCCAAGTATTTTTTAGGGTCTCTAAGTGAATTTTTGTCCTCTAAAAAACAGGCAGTAAATATACTAAGATTCCACAGATACTGTATTTTTAGGTGGGCAAGGGGATAGTAGACTCTGATTTGAGACTGATTTCAGTTGTTTGTTGTGTCTGTTGATCTCAAGGCAAGAGAGTTCTAATGCTTTTCTGTACTGCAAATTAAGTTAATATATGAATATTCATGATGAATTCCTGGGAAAAATTGGCAATTCTCAAAAAGATAACAAGCTGCCAGTGAACAGTGTTCATATTTGAACAGAAAATAAGGTAACTGTATGCTTTTCAGAGCATCTAAAAAAAAGGCAGACAAAAGTGTCATTGAGAAAAATCACCTTTGTCTAAAATTCCTCCTGTACAAAGAAGTCATTTCATTTAAAAGTTGTGAATGACACACTGCTTATATTGATAGAATTAAATTACAAGTTTCTAACCTTGATCCAGCTGAGGTCCATGGCAGAAGTCTCACTAAGATTTAGTATGTATGAAAAGGGATCTCTTGATTTTCGTCTGTCAGAACTATTTTATATTCAACTAGAATATTTGCACATAATCTCATGTATACTTCTTCCAACTTTCTTCTTCATCAGGTTTCTTTGCAACTCCAGAACAATACAACGTGTAAACCTCTTAGGCATTTAAAAACATAGTAGAAACAAAACTAGAAACAAAAGCGGATGTCTTGTTAGAATATCTATGGGCTTTCATCTTGGAATGAATCCTTCCTTAATGGAAATGATACAAATCTCTGGAATTAAAATAGCTTTCTACAAGAAGCAGTCACCAATGCTTTTATGGTAGTAATGATCTGCTATTAATTCAGCAAGTAACAGACACCTGACAACATATAACAGGTTACAAAATGGACACATAGAATGTTACCAAATTAATCCCCATTAAAACAACACAGTTGGAGTAATGTAAAGTAGGAACTAATTCATGGAACTGACTTCAGGAGGAAAATATACTTGTCATTGTTGGCACATGCTTCTGTTTCTCAAAAGAGGTTGGAAAGAATAATTAATGTGCCAGATGGCTGCATTCATAATGTGGATAGTTGTATGAAAATTTGTAAATGTAGCTTTTCAATGTTTTATGCCATAAAACTTTTTTCTCTTTAATTCTGCAGCCCACTAAAAACTCCACTGAAGATGCTGGATGTTTCTAACTGCTCGTTGAACCATGCTGATATGGCCTATTTAGCCAATAGCTTCCATGCTAATCACTTAGAAGCCCTGGACCTGAGTGGTCACAAGATACTTGACCTTTACCCATCAATATTCTTTAAACTTCTCAGCCATTCCTCTTCAGTGCTCAGGAGTCTTACCTTGGAGGACTGTAACATCCAAGACACTCATGTCAACATGCTGATTTTAGGTTTAAGCCCTTGTCAGAAACTACAGGAGTTTAAGTTTCTTGGAAACCCACTGTCATCCCAAGCACTTAAACACCTTTTCACATTTCTCTGTGAGTTGCCAATGTTGAAAAATGTGGAGTTCCCAGTTCCAAGGGACTGCTACCCTATTGGCATCACCTACCCAATTGATGATGCCAATCTCTGCAGATTTGATCATCAAAAATACGAAAGTGTAGCAGAGGATCTTAACCTCATTTTACTCCAGGCAAATAGGGAGGATGTGAAGGCTTCAACTCCACTCTTTGGCAGTTATGATGCAGCTGTTCAGGAAACGAACAATGAACTGGGAGCTTACTTGATCAAGTCCTTCAAAGAGACTTTAGAAAGGTTCACTACTTCTCTAAACAAAATGAGTTAAAGGTGTAACATAGTGGTGATGAGATGCTTTGTCAAATCAGAAGTTAATTTAGTCTTCTCTAGAACTGTGCCTTCATTGATCAGTCTTGAGTTTTCTTTAATTTCTTGGCTGAATTTACTTCTGTTTGAATAGCCTCTGATCATCTGAGGTATTTTAGCTATGCTTTATCTATTGCATACACCTTGCATAAGCACTGCTTGCTCTCAAAAGAGGGGAGGATTCTTAATAGCTTATTATTTTACACAAAAGCACTTTGTTTCTCAGTAAAACAATAGGTGTCTAAGTGTCCTGGTTTCGGCAGGGATAGAGTTAATTTCCTTCCTAGTAGCTGGTACAGTGCTGTGGTTTGGATTTAGGGTGAGAACAATGTTGATAACACACCTATGTTTTAGTTGTTGCTAGGTAGTGTTTACATACTGTAAACCAGGACAGCTGACCCAAACTGGCCAAAGGGATATTCCACACCATGTGACGTCATGCTCAGTATATAAAGCTGGGGGAAGAAGAAGGAAGGAGGGGACGTTTGGAGTGATGGCATTTGTCTTCCCAAGTAACTGTTACGCGTGGTGGAGCCCTGCTTTCCTGGGGATGGCTGAACACCTGCCTGCCGATGGGAAGTAGTGAATGAATTCCTTGTTTTGCTTTGCTTGCGTGCGTGGCTTTTGCTTTACCTATTAAACTGTTTTTATCTCAACCCACGAGTTTTTCTCACTTGTGCTTTTCCAATTCTCTCCCCCATCCCACTGGGGGGGGGGGGGGGGGGAGTGAGCGAGCGGCTGTGTGGTGCTTAGTTGCCGACTGAGGTTAAACCATGACACTAAGCTTGGCTGATTTCTTATACAGTTTCCTCTGGATTTGGCAGTGAGGCTTGTAGCCCTACAGAAAAGCCAGGAAAGTCCTTTCCCAAGTCCAGCAGGATGTCCCAAAGACTGTGCACCTATGGCTTCATAATGCAACTTTTGTTTTTGCTGTTGGCCTTCCAAATTCACCAGTCTGTGTTTTATCCAGTATGTTCCCAATAGTGGGGGATGTATAACAGCCTTCATGTCCCTGTGCCCCTTCTTCTGCAGAGGCAAGCATGATAAACCTCCTTTTGCATGGGGAATTACAGAGTTTGTCTAACACATTGTGCTGGTGAGGAGTAAAGTTCCATACTGAGGAGGCAGCAAACCAAATTGTTGGCTGACAGCAGGGGATTTCCCCCCATTTCCCCCAGCAATATAAAGCAGCCTATAAGGACTCTGCTGAAGCTCTTGCAAAGTGTATTTTACAAAGGCGTACCAGGACAGTGCTGCACAGCCACGCTTGTGGTGTCAGCAGGTAAGTGTCTCAAGCTGCTCCCTTTGTTGAATCAGCTTCTTGTCTGGTAGAATGTACCCTGCTGCTTTCAGCTGTTTTAAAGTCTAGGACAGTGGTAATGCAAAGAAGACTAGTGTCAAAAACACACATAGAAAAATGAATCCAGTGCCAATTTCAAAAATGTGGAAAAGGGACAAGGCGGGTTGCTGAGTAACTAGAAGTTCATCTGCATAAAATACTGCCATCTTCTGCCAGGACTGTGTATTGTTCTGCTACAGAATTACAAGCAGTGCCTGGAAGAATCACATTTATTTGACAAGCTCCAGTGCAAGAAATGTATTTGAGTGACAGAGTAAACAGAATCCTAGACCCCCCCACACACTGTGTTGGAACATGGGTAAAGGGGCCAACAGGGTGTTGGGATGCAGCAGCAGGGCCACAAAACAAATCGGGGGAGAGTACTATAATGGGGGAGGAATCCCTGTGTAGTAGGCAAGTGTCATAGTCTACTCAGCTTCTCACCTGTAATACTGCGGACAGACCGAAGAGAAAGATATTAGCAAATCTTACCTATTGTCAGCCAATTTGAGATCTCTGCTAACAGCCTCTGTCAACTCTACCGGAGCCCAAACTGCTTAATGTAGGACTAGAGACTTGGGTTTGCTTCTAGGTGATAAAAAAAAAAAAAAAAAAAAATGTTCAGGTTAATGGCCAGCACTCTGCCATTAAATATACTTGTAACAGTTCATGAAAACTTGATTAAACAGCACTGAAAGTGAATGTTGTAGCAGGAGTTGAGGTATCATTGTAGTGTTAAAGATCATTATTAAGATAACAAAGGATAAAAGATAATAAAAAGGATTATTAAGATAACAAAGGATAAAATTACTTGAAATAATACTGGCTCTCATTATCTGAGGGTAAGGAAGAATCTTTCTTCATTTAGGCAGTGCTAGTTTGTGAAGCTTTCTGTTTATCCACAATAAGAATATGCAAGCAACTACTAACCTAGTTTACCAAAAAAAAAAAAAAAATTAATGGCCTGAGTACTAAGCAGAGCTTACAGGTTCCACAGCATGCATTTAAATGTTTTTTTAATGTCTTCTTAGCTTATGTTCTTCCTTCTAACATGTTTTACTGATTAAACGTATCATGGTAAAATTGAAAGTGAATGGGTGAGATCTGTTTATGTTTACAGAGCGCTAAAAAAAAAAAAAAAGAAGTAATCTAAGTTGCCAAGCCAAGCAGCTGTGATTTAGAAAAATGCCAGAATTGGGTTCCATATGCTCTTGCTAATATTTGGACAGAGTTCCGCATGCTCCCTTGTCCTCATCTCTACTCTTTACCTTTCCCTCCCTCTGACCTTGCTGTTCTTTCCATCCTAGGCTTGACCCATGACTTCTCAGCCAGACGTAAGTGGTTTGAATTTAGCTAGTCCAAGGATCTATCTACTCCTTTGGGATGAGTAGTGGCACTTCCTGTTGCTGGGAGAGGACGTTCTGTGTACAGCAGCTGCAAACCTATGTGTAGTGATTCCTCCACCCTGGTAGCAAGGCTAGCTAACAGGTTGTACCTGGAGGTGAAAGTTGGCCATTTTGGAAGCGTGTTGTGCTACAACAGCCAGTCCCTGCCTGTTTCAGTACACACAAAATAGACAGTTTGTTCATAGATCAGCTCTTATTTCACAATATTTAGATGCCTTCTGAAGACTGCTGCCTATGCAGCTATTTCTGCTTTCTCCTTGCCTAAAGTCAGTCCTGGTCCACCCCTTTATTTTATTTCCTCCTTCTGTTTCCCACAAACTCCTGCCTGTCTTCCATTTTCAGTTTTACATATATATGCTGTCTATTTATGACTCTCTGAGCCAGGAGTATGTAAAGGCCATAGTTTTAGTGCCCAGTGAGGATCAGCACTATGTCTATTTCAAATATTCCCATTGAGCTTGGAGTATGGAGTGCGTTGCATTATAGAAATGGTGCACATGCATCACTTCATGCAGAATAGCTGTGAATGACTGACAAACAGATGGAGCACATTGATCCACGTGCAGAAAGGATTTGGATCCTGTTCCTGGGAAGCCAGCTGCTCTGCAGAAGCATGCAGACATTTTCAAAGTTTTGTGATCTTCTAAAATGCATTTTGATAGGATTGAGGCAAAAGTTTTATTGTTTACAGTTGCATGTTAAGATTTTATTTCATGAAATACAGTATTAACTAAAATGCATAACAGGTATATCAGTACTTTGAATAGTACTGAATCCAAAAGGCTGAACTGCAATAAAACACTGCTAGTACATGACAACAGTATTTTATTGACACAAAACTGTATTTACCTCAGAACTTGCTAGGAGAAAATGTCATATTTTGGGCAAGGAGGGATTTGTACCCTTTTGGAATGGAATCAGGTATTTTTTCCTCTTTCAAATCACACAGTTTCCAACTTTAGAGCCAACTTGTTCCAAGTTCTGAAGAACTTCAGACCAGCTCCATGCAATTACCTTTGCTGTGGTGACAGGTGCTCCTTTGTGGAAAGCCTGTCCATAGCTCTCAGATATCCTACCTTTGTCTCTTGAGTTTCTTTCTTAATTATGGTTGTTACTGTTGGTTTTAAATACAGGCCAAGCTGTAGCATTTTGGTGTTGCCCTGCTTACTGCAACAAGGATGTGTGCCATCTCTCAGAAGGATTCCTGCATCTCTTCTGCCCCAGCAGTGCTGATTATGGTTTCAGCCTGCTCTTTCTTCCTTTTTCCATGTGTGTGGGACTTGGCATTCTGCTATTAGAGAAGAAGGACTAATGCTACAGCTACCTAAGCATATAAAGTTACCTTATACTTTGCAAGTGCAGCCAGATATTGATTTAATCCTGCCTTGTGTTCCCTGTCTTTCTGATTTGTATCAAGCTGGAGCTATGCAGTTGATTGATAGTGCCAGCTATGGCTATTTAAAACCATGGACCAGAATTCAAAATGCTGTAAGATTTTAAAAGCAAATTTAACTTCATTTTATCTTTTATTTCCATTCTGTTACTTACAGTTTTATGTTACAAGAAATCTTAATTTTTGAGAATTATCATTAAACACAAAGTTCAGTAAAGAAAGAGGATCAATTCCTTTGTTGCTTTTGTGAAAGCTAAAATTCTAACACGTTTTCAAAAGCTGAGCTATCTTAGGCAACAAAATATACAATGCAGGACAAAAAATGGACCCGTTGACAATACTGCCTCACTAATATCCCAGTAGTATTTATGCTCAATGATGCCTTTTCTAAGTTTTCTGAAGTGGCAGCTACCTATCAGTTTCAAATGCCTGTAAACAAATACAAATAATAAGAAGGGAAATAAAAAACACACAAGTCTGCCCTCTGACCAGCTTCCATAGTATGATGGAAACTATGAAGGGGTTCTAATGACTATTTCCAGACTATTTTTCACCTTTTCACATGATAAGTTACCAATACAGTTCATTGTTTGTTGTACTTATTGATCTTAGGCCATCTCTGGTTTCTAGGTACACAGCTATGCTTCAGAGATTCCAGCTGCAGAAGGATGCTTCTGGTTCACAGACCTAGTTCCCAGGCTGGCAGGCAATTTCTTCTCTTCAGTAATTTTCTTTTTCTAATGAGGTCTCTTTTATGGCTGCTCATATTACTTGGCCACTTTGTCTGTGAATGGAATAGCGTGTTAAATGGTTGGTGAAGGAAGTCCAAATCAACAGATATGTAAGTGAATAGCAGTGTGCTGCTATTCCTTTGATTTTCATGACCGTGCACAGGAACAGCATTACATCAGGTACCAACTGTTTGCACTGTGTGTTGAAGGGATAGGAGGAGAGGAGCTAAATAGGCTAGGTAGGTGTCTCTAGAATTGCAGATTTAGATGTGGACCTGAAAACGTTAGTGTTCCAAAATTCCTTCCCCCTCCCCAAAACAAAACAAAACAGAAAAGTGTAGCTGACCTGTGTAACTACTTTAGTAATGTA